CTGGCTGGACAGTCCAGCTGTGGATTCTGGGGAGGGGTGCTGGCTGGGCAGTGGTGGATTGTCAGAGGAAGATGGGAAAGGGGCATGGTGTCCAGCTGTGGTGTCCAGTCAGTGTGAGGCTAAAGATAAGATTCCCAGGTCTTGTGCTGAGGAGTGGCCAGAGTAAAGGTGTTTTAAAGGGTCAACTTAGAAGCCAGATGTGGTGATAGTCCAAGCACTCAGGAGGCTGAGGCAGGTGGATCTCTGTGAGCTTGTGACAAACCTCTCCACATGACCAATTTCAGGTCAGTCAGAGTCACCCACACACACAGAGAGAGACAACCAGAGAGATAGGAAGGGAGGGAGGGAGGGAAGGTAGGTGTGGGGGAAGTGTTGAGATTAGGTTTCATGAGATGGAACATTTAGTCACTTCTCGGGCATCTGAGGTTTCTGGAGTACATAAGACTTAGGTTGTGTAGGTGTTCAGGGGAATTAGGGACATAGATTGTCTGGAATGCAGTGCCAGGAGCTTTTTACAGCAAGGATTTCAAATGATACCGGTGTAGCAGCCCTGATAGCAAGGATTACTTTGAATGAAAGGGGTCTGAGATCAGAGGGCAAAGGTTTAGTACTTCTGCATGGAGGGGGTACAAACTAAACAGGAGCAAAATCACTCCAAAGGAAGTGAGACACTTGTCAAAGAATGGTCAGCTCCTCTCTACTAAGACACAGCTGAAAGAGGAGGCGCAGTTTGACTCCTTGAGAACACATAATTGTCACCTCTATGGCCTTATGCATACAATGGTATCATTGAATAAGATCAGTTGAAGGACAGAAGAGCAGCTTCTGGTCTGTGGCAAGCTCTAAAAAAAAAGTGTCAGCAATGGTTTTGCTCAGTCTGTGGCTCCTGTCAGGGGCGTGGCTACCTAGGTCCCTACAAACAACCTGATTGCCATCCAGGGACACAAGCACTTGTTGGTGTCACTAAGCTAAGATGGTGTTCCCTGGCTTCTGGTGGCTCCTGTCTGCCTGTCTTCTGTCCTGGTGTTGCAACACCTGGGAGCTTGAGGATCATGACCGGGAGTCAGAATCATCACTAACCCCTCTGGTGATGTACTTTCAGAAAGGTAAGTGAGGAGCTGGTGGGCAGAGGGCAAGCGATACTCTTCCTTTCCCTGTCTGGGTTCGAATCAGCCAAGCCAGAGCTGGAAGGGCGAGGACAGCGATTCCTTAGCATCCGCCTGACCCAGGTGTTGGGATTTGGGGGCCCTCTGCACTGGAAGGAAGGGAGCCAGGTGTCTTTGGTGAGCGCTCAGGGAGAGCTGTGCACGTCTAGGGATTTATGCTGTCCTTGTTAAAATCCTAGCAGCGACGGCATCAGCCAGCAGCATCTGACAGTCAGGCCATTGGTCCCTGCAGAGCCGGGCGGCGCGCTCATGCTTTTATTCCTTCACACACTGGACAGAGATCTACCAGGCACCTGCACATATGTCCTTTATACAGCCACCACACAGCGCGACCACACCATGACAGGCTGAATTCTCTGCCCTTCTGGAACTTACTTTCCAGTGGGGAAACACACTATAAAGAAATAAGGGAAAGTGTCCTGTGGTGATGAGTGCAGTGGAGACAGACAGAGAGCCTGGAAGGAGCTGGAGCTGGAGGTGTGAGTGTGAGCTTGTAGAGACAATGTTAGGAAAAGACTCTCCCAGAGACTGACACTGAGCAGGTCTGAAGGGGACGAGGGAAGATGCCGTGTGGATGTGTGGTTAAAGGAACAGCAGAGACAAAGGCCCTGAGTTGAGCAAGTGATGTCGACAGTGCAGCAGGAGTTAGGGAGCACGGGAAGGGGGGGTGGGGATGGGGGGCATCTGCTGGGGCTCTCAAGATAGTGGAAGGACTTGGAATTGGACTAGATGATTAGAAAGTGAAGTTGTTTTATTAAGATGGAACAGCTTATAGGGTGAGAACATCTGAGAGTATTTCGTGTGTGTGTGTGTGTGTGTGTGTGTGCGCGTGCGCGTGCGCACACGCACTCACAGGCCCTGACATTCATGAATGCACAGGTCAGCACATGTGGAGTCCTAAGGACAATATTTGGGAGTCAGTTCTCTCTTTCTCCTATGTGGATCCCAGGGATGGAACTCAGGTCATTGTGCTTGGCAGCAGGTGTCTTTACCCACTGTAGGAACATGTCAGCCTTGTGTATTGACTTCTTTAACCCCATATGGTTCATGGTAATTTAGAATTTTCTATGTAGCCCAGGATACCCTTGAAATCCCATTCCATTTGCTTCTACCTCCCAAGTGCTGGGATTGCAGTCATGTGTTACTATGACTGGCTAATTTGATATTTGGAGGCAATGTCTCATGTAGCCCAGGATGTCCTTGATCTTGACATGTAGCCAGTTATGGCTTTTTTGCCTTTCTCTTTCTGGCTGTTTCATTTGTTTTATATTTTATTTTAAGACAGGGTTTCATTTTGCATCCAAGGCTGTCTTGGAGCTCACTATGTAGGGCAGGCTAGCCTGAAATCCCCAGTGATACCCTACCCTCAACCTTCTGAGTGTTGGGGTCACAGGAACTGAGGGGCCAGTTTCCCCAAGAGAGTCTTCCTTCTCCTTTCCATGTTGTGGGGTTCCAAAAAATGTAGCACTATGTCCAGCTGTGTAGTCCAGGCTGACTGAGAATCAGGATCCCCTGTCCCACCCTGGAGCACTGGGATGATGGACATGTGAGGACACACCCAGCTTTGATTTAGTGAATCTGATGCCCTTTCCACAGACCTGGCAGGGGTTACAGGGGCGTTTTCTAGGGTGGGGACTTTACTTTAGAGCCATTGGCCTCTGGCTTGAATATAAAGTCCTGTCCTGGGTTAAGGTCACCCAAGGAGTGAATGTGCCAGGAGTGGGAACACCTAAGCTTCTGGAGATGGAGTTGACAATGAGGAAACAGCTCAAGAGGGAGACGTGAGGGAACATCCTGAGGGGAGGATGGAGGTCAGGAGAGTTCACCGTCCTGGAAACCAGTGAAGAAAATGTTCTCTGAAGCAGGAACAAGCCAAGAGAGATGGCTGACATCTGCAGCCCCAGGACTGGAGAGACCTAGGAAGGTAGATGACTGCAAGTTGAAGGCCAGGGTGGGTTATCTAGAGATTCTAGTGAGTTTCTGCACAGCCTGGAGTGATACCCCACCGCAAAAACTAACAACAAAAGTCACATCTGTAACAACAATGAATAGGACGATATTAGATCATTGGACCACAAGTGGACAGGTCTATCAGGAGCAGCTTGGAAACTGATTATTGGACTTAGCCACGTGAAGACCTGTGTCCATCTTGACAGAAGCAGTTAGGGGCTGAACTTTTTGGACTGGGATAAAGAAAATCACAGAGAGGAATTAGAGTCAGTGAACAGGGACAACTCTTGCAGGGCTGCTTCAGCCCCAAGTCAGGTTCACAGAGGACATGAGATAGATGCTGCCATGTCCATCTATCTATTCGAGCTGTCACTGAGCAAAGCTGCGTTGTCCTGGAATGCTTGTGGTGCAGGAGTGAAAGAATTCACCAGAGCAGAACTGACATTAGAGTTTAATGCAGAATAGACAGTGTGGACAGAAACACAGCAGGCTGGATCTTTGTTTTGAGGCAGAGTCCCTCTATGTAGCCCTGGCTGTCCTGGGACTCACTCTGTAAACCAGGCTGGCCTTGAACTCACAGAGATCCAGTTGCAAGGATTGAAAGCATGTGTCATCAGAGTACTGATGGCAGACTGATTCCTAATGAGTAGAAATGCACACCGCAGGAGTGGGCACTCTCACCTCAGTTAAGAACAGTTACTCGTCCTCACTTCATTTTGCCCTCTGTGTAGTTGTTTGAGTAGACAAGGGGGCAGCTCACTACCTGTCAAGCAGTGACTCCTTTGTTCATGTGAGGTGCAGGCTCTTTAAGCTCTAACTGTTTGTGAAGTACCACAGGTCACTCTGTCAGGATCTGAGGAGTTGGGGGTTGGTTTTCAGTTTTACTCTTTGTTTGTTCGCCTCAGGCACTTCATGTGCCTCATCCTGGTCCTGGCAATCCTCCTGCTTCAGTCTTCTGAGTGATAAGATTACAGATTTGTGTCACCACACCTGACCCCCCTTTGTTGTTTTTATTAATGTGCTAAGTAGCCGAGAATAACCTTGCACTTCTAATCCTCCTCCCTCTGCCTCCAAGTGCTGGGACCATATGTGTGTTCCCCTTGCCCAGTTTATACAGTCCTGGGGTCCTGTCTGGGACCCGGTGCATGCTGGGCAAGCACTGTATCAGCAGGGCTCCTTCTCCGGGCCCCGACGGCCTTGCAGCTCGTTAGCAGCTGACAGAGTGCTATGCAGTAGATGGTCTTTTACCTGTTCCTGCTGAGGGGACATCCATGTGACATCAGCGTCACTGTTTTCAGTGCACAATTCACCACCATGGAGCCTGTTCACCAGCTGAGGCAAACACAACTTCCCTCTAGTTTTAGAGTTGTCAGCACTCAGGAAAACCTCCATATGGTTAAATCAATGTCTCCTTCCTCTCCTCCCACTCCTGATAGCCTCCTGCCGATTCCCTATGCTGTGGTTTTCTCATTCTGGACAGAACCGGTGAAGGCACCAGATGATTTGTCTTTTGTGTAGGGTTATTTTACAGGATGTGCTTGCTGGGAGCACACTTCAGTCCTTCATGTCTACTCATGGATGAATAGTATTCCATTATGTGACTATGCCACAGGTTAGTCAAGAGTAATGGATATTTCCCCTGTTTGTTCCTTTTGCTATTATCACAGTGTTACTGTGAACATATGTGAGAGGTTTTATCTGAATGTATGTTTTCATTTTCTTGGTTATAAAGGTAGGAGTAATTGCTTAGTAACTTTTCAGGCACAGCCACACTTTCCCACAAGGTTTGCATTGTTACATTTCCACCAATAGGACTTAATTGTTATCATTTCTCCAAGTCCTCAACGTCTGTCTGGGTAGGAATCAGAATGGTGTTCTTTTATCTTGCATTTCATTAAAGACCAGTGCTGCTTTTGCCTTTTTGTCTTCTTGTCTTCTTCTTCTTCTTCTTCTTCTTCTTCTTCTTCTTCTTCTTCTTCTTCTTCTTCTTCTTCTTCTTCTTCTTCTTCTTCTTCTTCTTCTTCTTCTTCTTCTTCTGCTGCTGCTGCTGCTGCTGCTCCTCCATTTCCTTTTTTATGATTTTATTTACTTTGATGTTTTTGAGGTTATTGATTTTTTAAAAATTTTATGTGTAAAAGTGTTTTGCTTGCAAATTTGTCTGTACACCATGTGTATGCAGTGCCCACAGAGGTCGGAAGAGTGTGTCTGATTCCTTTGAATTGTTACAGACAGTTGTGAGCCACCACGTGGGTGCTGGGAGGAGCGGTCAGGGCTCTTAACTGCTGAGCCATTTCTCCAGCTCTGTTTATTTACTTTGAAAGAGGGTCTAATTATAGGCATGAAACTCATTGTGTACAGTAGGCTGGACTTCATCTCCAAAAGACCTTCCTGCCTCTGCCTCCAGAATGTTGGAAGGAGGGCATCCACCACCATGGAAGACTAATTTTAATTTTTTTTAAGTTGGGTATGGAAACATGGCTGAGTAGCTAAGAGCATCACATGCTCTTGCAGAAGACCTAGGTAGGGTTCCCAGCACCCACACGGCAGCTTAGAACTGCTTTTGCCTCCAGCTCCAGAGAATACAGTGCCCTCTTCTTGACTCTTTAGGTAACAGCACACAGGCAATACACATAGAGGCAGAACACAGACACAAAATAAAGCTTAAAAAATCTTAAAAATGTGTTTATGTATATGTATTTGTGTGACTGTCTTATGTGAGGGAACCCACAGAGGTCAGAAGAAACAGTTGAGCCCATAGTTGTAGTTACAGGGGTTTTGAGTCAGCAACCTTAGTGCTGGGACTTGTGTCCTCCGCAAAAGCAATGCACAGCTTATCCATCTAAGCATCTCTTCAGTCTACCCCACCCCACACTAGTTTTCTTTCTTTTCTGGGGGGCGGGTGTTGCTTGTTTGTTTGTTTTTCCAGGCAGGGTTTCTCTACGCAGCCCTTGCTTTCCTGGAACTCACTCTATAGACCAAGCTGGCCTTGA